TGTTTAGATTGGTTTGCAATGTTGTGGTGGTGCATGCAGAAACCCAGGTAACTACCCACCTTTTAAGGTTCACTTGGTTTGCGTGTTTATACAGAGAGCTTCTCTGGCCTGGTGTGTCCTGTTACATCTATGCGGTCCTGCGTACAGCAATATAGGAAAGTAGGTTAACCAAACAATTGAAAGGAATCCCGCACTTAAAAGATTAAGGAGGCTTGGGTGCAATTACTTTCCACCCAGTTATTTTTTTCACATTTGCCTCAGTGTTGCAAAGGAGCATGTGGTGTTTTTGAAAACTAGTCCCCAATACGAAGTACCTTATTAGATTAATTGCACACAATAGGGGGTGTTTTCTTTTATATGAACTAAACCTGGTGTTTAATATTTTCATTAAATTGACGGCAAAGGTTCTGCGACCCATTCTAAGAAATTATTGATGCAATAAAGTGAGTACCATAATCTCAGACTTCAAATAATATCCATAAATAGTTCAATGTTTATCCTTGTTTACACTGTACTCCGAGCATTTCAGTTGGGTAAGTGTATTTTCTTACAGAACCCTTTTAATATATCCATAATTTGCTATGCTGTTGTCAATTCCTGTAACCCTGTATTGATAGAGTATTGAATATAGACTCCATTTTATGTGCATCAATACAAAATTACTGGAATCGACATGACAGACAGAGGAAAGGCATTGTCTCGGGAACAAAGGTCGAGAAAATGAAAATTGCTCAAACCAGCTGTTTCTAGTCTTATGGTGCTCACTCGGAATAAAAATTGTTCATTGGTTTCCATTTCCCTTGAGGATCTCAAATTCATTATTTGCTGATTTGTTTTGACATGATTGATTTGGGAACACAAATGGTGGTGCTTAATTGTTAAAGATAGCCATAACACATTAGAAGTACAGATGACATATTTCGACCAAATCTATTTACTGGAAGAAAAAATGCTGTTCCAGCAAAATGATCGATGAGCTACATTTCTTGACTGAAAGCTTCAATAATATATTAACTCCTTAGTTCTGAGTCTGCCAAGATTTCTTCCAGTGGTCCGTAATTACACTCGCTCCTTTTCAAGTGAGATATTAATGAGTTTATGATTTGTCTCAAAACGACAGGTAGAATCTGATGTTTGGTTTTCATGCAAGGTTTTTAGATTTTCGATTTTTCGAGTTTAACCGAGAGTTTGCATTTTGGGGAGTTGATATGAAATGCTCAATGGAACATTGAAAATGCCGTTTAAAACTTGTCGTTTGTAAATTGCCTTCTAGCAGAAGCCTTTGTTTTTATGTTTATTTTAAAATGAAGTTTAGCCTCCGAAGGAAATGTATGCAGTAGCTTGCCATGTTTCTCTTGGCAGGTCATAAGTCTTCATTACCAGATTATAAGAAAACACAAACATTAGATGGACTTCTCCATTGGATCAACAGAAACGAATCAGCAGTGATATTTTTTCCTCCACATAAATGCGATTTTGTGTGGGAATGTGAAAATCCCTCAAGATTAATATCATTCACGATAATGTCAGAAACTTCAGAATAAAAAGGAGGTCATTCAATCCATCAGTCCTCTGCTGCACCATCTCTTCCTATGCCATTTCTCAGCTCCATTCCCTATTCCCTTTCATATCTTCATATTTTAGGACTTTTATTAATTCCCTTTGAAACGCTGTAGTTGGCTTGGCTTTAAATAAGCATTTGTGGTAGCTCGTTCCATAATCCTTATTGCAAAACCCTTATTTTTCTAACCTTCCTCTTGATTCTAATTGTACTTTTTTGAGTTTATTCTTCGTTAACCAGTGGAAATAATCTTAAATATATTTACCCTCTCAAACCCTTTGTAAATTTGAACACATCTGGTTATATCCCCCTGTTAACCTTCTGTGCTTTTGTGAATACAGCTTCTCCTTTTCCGTCTTTTATCAAATCTTATGTTCTCTCATCCACGTTTCTATTGGTGGATCTGTCTTGTACTCTTCCATAGTTCTGATACCTTTTTCTGTGGTGTGGTATCCAAAACTAAGTACAGTCCTCCATTGAGGCGAAAGCTCGACTAAGCCTCTCTGTTCTTTTTTAAATTCACTATTATAACATTTCCTTTTTAGTCATTCAAGGACCGCACCCCTTCCTTGGCTATGCTCCTACTTCTGATGCAGATCCTAAAGCCCTTTGCTATTACTCTTTGTTGCCCGGCATGTCTCTTAGCCGTCTTAATCTCCCTTTTTGCTTCTCTGCTTGTGGTATTTTGTCTTTATTACTAGCCCTAGGTTTATCACATGCTTTTAAGAGTTTATTTTTGACATAATCTCCCTGTTCATCCATAGCACTCAAGCCCTTGATGCAGCTCTTTACTCCTGTTTGGAATGTCAACCGAGTTCCACTTTTAACCTTCGATAGCAGGCCCTTGTGCACAGTGCCATACCTGCGATTTTAAGACGTTGCATTAGAATTGTTTCTAATTTGTTTGCAATTAAATACATAAATTATTTTTCCATGAAATAGAACCAAATGGAATTGTACACTTACTGTATTATTAATCGTAGGGCAGTATTAATTAGTTTTATCTCTCCCCCACCCCCCAATTTAAACCAAAGCGCATTATAAAAGAAAAAAATTGCAATAACTCATTCGCAATAAGTTTTAAGTTTGTAAAAGTACAAGCAAGTTTCTGCATGATTTGATATTAAAAAAAACAAAATTAAACAGCTCCATTCCTGCTCTTCTTGGCTTTACAATGTGATTCACTGTTCCTCACTGCTTTCTCCTGCAGTCTTCACCGTCTGACCTCGAAAACTATGATTAACCTCAAATAATGAAACTGAACGACATTTTAAAATGCTTCAGCAATAGATACCTGCCATGTGTTTAGCTTCAAGTATTCCAACTGCAGCATAAAGCAAAGCTTTCACTGGATTCTGCCCGAAGGCTTGAGAAGCCAGCATTTGTGACTGTTTATTTCCAGCTTTCTTTTTAATCTTGTTTCGGCTCCTTAATGGATCAGTTGTCTTATTAACTTCTCCTCTCTTGCCTCTGGGGAACCATCAACTGGTTCCGATTCACTGCTCATTGGTGCTGTGAGAATTACTTTACTGCGCCGGGCGTACAATAAAGTCGGTGCTTCTCTCCCGGTTTGAAAATGGAAGTTGCGAGGACTGTAACAAATCTGCTGAAGGTGTTGAACACCACATTATTGAGGAAATGGCCGAGGCCAAATGAGTTTGTGCACATCTGCAGGCACATAGTCCTAGGGGCAGATGGAGAGAAATTTGGAAGGAACAAAGTGACTATTCCATTTGTTGTTGCATTTTGTTAAAGATGAATTGCTGGAGCTCTGCTGCTCAAGCCACTTGTTGCACATTTTTCAATCATAAGCAGTCCAGACTTCAGGTCTAACCTTTTCAAAGCACAGTTGAAATTGACCACAGGGGCAGCTGGAGGAAATTAATATACAGTATGTATAAGAAGTAATGTTAAGGGGATCACAGTCCTCTCCTGAGTTCTAATGTTTTTTTTAAAAAACATTTATTATTCATTGAATTAGTTACTTTAAAACGATCGGCCTAACAATCTCACTCAGTACACTAGTTTGGATGAGATGTTAAACCAAGGTCCGTCTGCCTGTTCAGGTGGACGTGTGGTGTAAGATCCCATGGCACTATTCGAAAAGAGAAGGGAGTTTCTCCCAGTGTCTCTCTGACCTGCTGACTCCCTACCAACCTGTCCGCTCTCTCCGTTCATCAGTCTCTGGCCTGCTCCATGTCTCCCATCCTACCATCGGTGGCCGAGCTTTCAGCCTCTCTGTCCCCACACGCTGGAACTCCAACCTACGGTCCCTTCGCCTCGCTTCCTCCCTCGCATCCTTTAAGGCCGGTCACAAGATCCTTCTCTTCAACCATGCCTTTGGTCTCCCTCCCACCTCTCTGCCTTCCCTCACCCTTACACCACACGTCCCCCCATGCTTGGGCCCCGACACCTGACTGTTCAGCGCTTTGGAATGTCCTCCCGACGTGAAAGGCGCTCTATAAATGTAATTTTGTTGTGGTTGTTGTCTGGCCAACAATCCACTAAATAAAATTGGGCACTTAGTCCATGGCTGTTTGTTGGACACTGCTGTGGGCAAATAGGCCGCTGTGTGCGCCCACAAAATACACAGTCAATCCACTTTACAGTATACCTTGTGAAGCGCTTTGAGACATCTCTCCTTCATGATAAGGTGCTATATCAAATGCAAGGATATTTTTTAGTATAGCTAGTTGGTTTCATGTTGATTAGATTGATAGGTAGATTGGAAAAAGAATAAAGAAGTCATAAAATGTAGTGTTGAACAAAGAGAGGAAATTGCCAAATCTTCCTGCCCTCTGACATCAGTTACAAAATTAATCCTATTGAACGATTGTTGGGTCAGGCTATCAACTCTCTTTGTCTTGTTCCGTTGACATGACACCATTCAGAGTATTGGTGAGAAAGCTCTAACGCCCGGTAAATGTTTACTCCTTTACCTGAAAGTGATGTGGATTCTTCGTACTGAGATAAAACTGAATCTATGCAAAATCTCTTTGAAGAGGCGATTGCAGTTCTATCAGACAAACGTTAGCATTCCCGGGTGAACTCACCTGATGATTATATCTCGTGACAATGGCTAATAACAGCAGGTTCTAAGTCTTTCTCTGACAACAGCACAGCAAACATAAATCAATTGGCAATCAATAGGAATGAATTTCCATTAGTCACCAAAGATGATGTTGATTGATTAACCTCTGAGCAGGTTTCTGGGAAACTCAACAAGTTTTAAGAATAAATAATAATAATCCTTGCATTTGATACTGTGCCTTTCACGTCCCGAGAACAACTCAAGTACTTCACGGGAATTACTGTTAAATGTAGTGACTGTGTATTTTGTAGGCAATATTTTAAATGCTGTCAAGCCAGTGTGTGTGTGTGTGTGTGTGTGTGTGTAAATATACTAAGCAAAACACCACATTTACTTTTCCCCCCTCAGCTCCATCTGCCATTGGAATCATACAAGCAAAAGAGATCACGAGACACAGTGTTTCCTTGGCCTGGCCTGAGCCTGAGCGCCCGAATGGAGTAATATTGGAATACGACATCAAGTACTATGAGAAGGTTAGTCACTGATGTTAGATGTTATTCAGCATCTGAAATGGTAAACATTTTGCATTTGTATTCTCAGCAATCCTCCACTTTTTCCCATTCAAACTTCCCTTTAAGTTCCAGGGGAGCTATGGATCACTAATGAAAGAGATTGGTCTCTACAGACGTGTGTTTTAGTAAGCTTATCTCACTGCAAGTTCTAGACGGACTGCTAGCAGGAGAATCTATCAATGGTCCTTCTATTGAAATTTACAGTACAATAGCACCTCACCATAACAACCTCAGTTATAACCCACATTACTTATATTACCTTCTCTGTGACATCCTTTCTCAATGGCTCCCCAAAGCAGTCTTTGTAGGCAATGTCCTGATTACATTGTTTCATGGGTTTGTGAATGGCTCGATACGTGTATGTCAGGCAGTAAACACAGGACATCCCTTTCTTCTTTAATACTTGCACATCCTGAAGGGGACATTTTAGCCGATTAATTACCAGCCCATTGTTTTAACTGCACTTCTTTCTAAACATTCTCTCTCTTCTCTGTTGGTTTATATTTTTTCACAGGATCAGAATGAACGCAGTTACAGGATTGTTAAAACTCTCCCCAGGAATGCACACATCACGGGGTTAAACCCGTTGACGGCTTACATGTTTCATGTCCGAGCACGAACAGCGGCTGGCTACGGAGAGTTCAGTGCTCCGTTTCAGTTCATAACAAACTCAGGTAACCAGCACTTCAGCATCAGTCCATTCCAGAATATTTTGTCGTTTCGCCCACAAAAGATACAGTCAATTTGCTTTCCAGTGTATTCTGCGAAGCGCTTCTGAGACCTACTTGACGACATGATAAGGCGCTATATCAAATGCAAGGATTATTATCATTATTATTCTTTGCCAATTTGTAAATTGCTTCTTTTGAGAAATAAATATTGAATCGAGCCCAATTTCTCATCCAGAAATCCTGATATAATGAAAGTATTTTTGTGGCTGCAATATTTTGTCAATTGTTCCACTGGTTATCAAATTGAGTGCAGCCTGTTAATAGACGACTGTTTTTCTCATCTCCAGCTCCGTCAGCTATCATAGGAGATGGTGCAAGCCCCACTGTGCTCCTTGTGTCAGTGGCCGGCAGTGCAGTTCTACTAGTGATTCTCGTATCAGCTTTTGTTATAAGCAGGAGGTAAGCCTTCCATATTTATTTTCTATTTTCCCCTACCGAAAGGTGCTGAAGGTACAGATCCAGTGCCCTCTGGTATCTGGCTTATCTGCAATGCCGGGCTATTTGACCTTAAGGAGAATCACAAATATACGGTCACAAATATACGGTCAATTCACTTTACAGTTTATTCTGTGAAGTGCTTTGAGACGTCGAGAAGACGTGAAAAGCGCTAAATCAAATGCAAGGATTATTATTATACTATTATCACAAAGAAATGTCACTTGCCTGATTTACCAATCAGTGTTATCAGTTCCTGTGGAGTTGCACTCCAGGAAGAGTTGCTGCTTGCTGGATAGGAAGGAAGGGGGTAATTTTTTTCACATATGAAATAAGCCATTATTACCTCCAGGATGCACTGATGTTTAGGAAAGTACAGTTTCAAAAGAGAGATTCCCTGAATGCTTCTTGGGATTCCAAGGCTTCAGTATTCACCATTAGTCTAAACATTTGCTGGCAATGGCTCTGCTGGATCAGGCAATCCACCTCCCTACAAATGCCAGGGAAAGCAGCTCGTAAAAAAACTCACAATTTCAAAGCAGCCTTCAGACCTCTTCAAGCCTTTATCTTCCAAAACATCTCCCGCATTTGGATCAGAGAACTTTTCCCAAACTCCAGAGGGAACAAATGTGTTGTTTACCCTTGAAACAGCTTGGGTAACTCTATCATCCAGTGTGTGATGCCATGAATATTAATTTCACAGGGTTTTTCTAACCAACCAAAACGCCCCCTAAAAACTGACAGTATAATTCAGCGAGACGACTTTATTAAAAGCTACTGAAATAGGAAATAGTAACAACAAGTTTGATGGTTTAATAACACATCCATTCTCATTGATGACTTTATTATTTAAGACAGGATTGACGGGGTGATTCATTGGAATTCTAATTACGAGCTGCCACATAAGAGCATTGAGATTCATTGAGTGTAGAAGATGATAATTCCACACTATAAATAATGTCATTTTCAGTCCCTGATAAACAGTATCTGGTGATTGGGCCTCAGTGGATCACTCTCAGAAAATGAAACGTCAACCTCTGGCCTCGCATTGATTTTCTAGTCTCCAGACATAAAACTGTCAAAAGAAAGCTCACAGGGACAATCTTGCTGATAGTCATTTCTTCACGGGTTCAGATATTGTATGCGTATCTTCTGTTCAAAGGTGAATTGCTGTTTATATTGGTGAGGATTTGCATTACACTCTGTGATAAATGGTGGTGCTTGTGAATAGGGGTACTGTTGTGGATGGTGTTAAATCAAAGATAAAAATCTTTTGCATTCTGTTCTCTTCTATGCTGTTTGAAAGTTTCTTTGTATTTAGGGGATGTCAGTGGTTAATTTTAGGCAGATCTACCTTTCTCCTCCCCCTCCCACCACAGGACTAGTGATAGTAACGCGTACTATAATCTCTAATAAGTAGAGAACACAACTGTGTGTGGGGGCTGGGGGGACAGGAATACATAATTGAATTAGACAATGTTGTACGAGAACAAAGTGAAAACATTTCACAGTTATAAATAAAATAGAGGGGCAATAATTTCAACCAGAGTTTGCTGTAATTTTTCTGTAAATACTTAAATGCACTGTGAAGCATTCTTATTTACATTTACCCAGCAGTTTTTCAATGAAGACTTTATACCTTCAAAACCCTTTTAAAAACATTTGCCTACAGTTACACAGTCACTACACTTCACCAAAACTTTGCAAAGGACTTTGAAACATTCTCGATGTTATAAGCGCTAAATCAAATGCAATATTTTTTATCTTTCTGACTGTGCCTTTGGTCAACCTTGAATTCTCCTTTCCTCCTACTTGGAGATTGCAATTTTTTTATGAAGCACTTTTAAGGCATTCATCATAGAATTTTACAACATTAAAGACCATCCGGTTCATTTTACTTGTGCAAAGCTCATTTTCAGTGAAAGGCATCATAAGTAGAAGGGTTTAGTTTTTGGTGACAATCGTGTTCCCTCACCAACAAATCTAGATTTCGGCTTGAAGTGAAATTGAATTCATGGTTTAGAAACTCCTAATACTCCTCACCAGATAGAATTCAATTATCTGTTCCTGAATATGACCCTGCAATTAATCTTTTATCAGCATGCAAGAGTAATCAAAATAAAGACAAAGTAACTTTTGTTTCAAGGAGGACAGATAAAGTGGAAGGCTTGGCATGTTATCAACTAGCTGTTTAGCAATCCCAATTCCCTTTATCTCTGCCTTTGTGAATGATAATAGGACCAACAACAAAGCGTTGAAGCTTGAAACACCAACAACTCGGCCACATTGAGTGAATCCACAATGCATGGCAATAGCCCTTTGTGTCACGCCGTGGTACTTGCAGAGAATGGCCTATGTGTCTCACCTATAGACCTGCTGGCCTTTCTGACCCCTGCTGCTTATCAAAGCACTCTCTACCTGCACCCTGTCATTCCACGTAAACTTTTCTAATTATACAATTCAGACCATCACAAAGAGCTTCCTTAATCCATTCAGGCTCAGTCAGGTATGCCATCGCCGAATGTTAATTTATTTTCCAGGTTTCCAACTGGCTATTAGCATTCATTTCCCTTGCTCAATGACTGCCTAATGAGTTCTCTTGTGTTCACAGTAGTTAATGATACACAGCAGTGTCATGCCTCTGGCAGGGTTCAGCAGGTGACCAGTCATATTGGTAGGAGTGGGGAAGAGGGGGAAAAAGATCCAGGCATGTAATTATCAGGCAATAAGGTACAATTGAGTGTTTGAACAGCAAGATGTGGTGCATCCCAACTAAGCAGGTGGTCCTGCATTTCTCATTTCCCGCATTGTTATCAATCTTCACGCATTATTCACGGTTCCTTCAGGCGCAGAAAGTACAGTAAAGCCAAGCAAGAAGCAGACGAGGAGAAGCATCTGCATAATGGACAAGGTACGTGCTAATAACCAGAGCCATTTGGGTTTTAAACTTACAGAAGGACGGCGGAGGAATTAACTTTTTAATGCATTTGTACAGTTAATTATAAATAATGACATGAGGCTCAGTTAGTAATGCCGTTGCCTGGTGCAGAATTGATTCCTTACGGATCAAAGCGTTTCCAGGTCTGATCCCTACATCCCGTAAGGTGGATTTAAGAGGATTTGGATTCCACCTCACTCGCGTTGAGTGAAGTCAATCTCACTGATGCTCGTGGCACTGCCAGCCATATTGTCAAGCTCATTTGGCTGCCCACAATACACAGTCAATTCACTTTATAGTATATTCTGTGAAGCACTTTGAGATGTCTCGAAGATGTGATGAGGTGCTATATCAAATCCAAGGATTATTGTGTTATTATATTGAAAAATTGCTTTTGATTTCAGTTACTGCTACTGCCAATTCTTCTGTGTAATAACGCCAACATTTTGCATTCTTAAATCAGCTGACTTGTACACTCAGCTCTTCAAAAATGCTTGCAACGTTAAATTGTATAAAGCAGAAGTAGAAAATAACACTTAAAGTTCAGAAAACCTAATAAACTTCTAAATACTGATCGCACTGTGAGCTTTGAAAGTGATGTAAAGCTACCATCTGAAGCATCTGGGGGGGGCAATGGAGTTTTTAAAAAAAAACTTTTAATGTTTGACTCGAAATACTTTCTTTTCACAGGAGTAAGGACATATGTGGACCCTTTTACCTACGAGGACCCTAACCAGGCAGTCCGGGAATTTGCCAAAGAAATCGATGCATCCTGCATAAAGATCGAAAGGGTGATCGGTGTAGGTAAGCAGCTCAGATAGATTATTTCAAAAATTGCCAACAGGTGTAATGATACAAGTGTGGTTTGCTGTGAAGTGAATTAACAATTTTCCCACGTTTCTCCCCAAGGCGAGTTTGGCGAGGTGTGCAGTGGGCGCTTGAAAATGCCAGGCAAGAGAGAGATCTGTGTTGCCATTAAGACGCTGAAAGCTGGTTACACTGACAAGCAGAGGCGAGATTTCCTGAGTGAGGCCAGCATCATGGGCCAGTTCGATCATCCCAATATTATCCACCTGGAGGGTGTGGTCACCAAATGTAAGTGGAAGTGATGTAAAGAGTGTCAAAGAAAGAATCATGTGCATTTGTTTAGAACTGGCAGATGGGCCTTCCTGTTCCTGAATTATATGGGAGAAGCTTACAGTGCAAGTCATTCGTCTTTGTGACAGATTTAAATGCGTTTATGGTGTAAATTGACATTCTATCCTTAAGACAGCCTGTAATAGAATTTGCCATGAAATTAATATCTGGACGTATGTAGGCCATGAAATTTTTTNCCTGAAACTGTGACAGACTGGGTTGGGTGTCATGGGATAGGCACAAACAGATGGCAAGTAATTTGATACGAGATGCCAAAATGATTCTTCCAAGTGTTTCACCACGCCAAAAACTACTGGCCCGTGAGAAAATGAGAGATGAGCATAAATATTCAACACAATTGCCTCCTTCAAGTGCCAGCTATACCTGGAGTCATGCCCAAACCCTTCAAGCCAAAGAAAAATCAACCACTGTTAAACTTATTTCCAATCTTTCCTGACTAAATTGAAGTTGATCCAAATTGTTTGCATTAAGTGGTGAGAGGCAAATTAAAAATTGGTCATTTACATTTCCAATAAGAGGAAGATAATCTCTCGAGCCCTGTTGACTGAGTCCTGGCAGACAGTATTGACTGGGGTCACTCCTGCCACTCGCTTCTCTAATGACTGTCATTTAGTAAAGCATTCACCTCAGCTGCTCCTGACAGGTGGTTGGTTGCTTGGCATGAGAAATGGCAATATTTCTCATACTGCCGTGTTTCGCCCACAAAATATTCAGTCAATCCACTTTACAGTATATTCTGTGAAGCGCTTTGAGACATCTCAATGACGTGATAAGATGCTATATCACATACAAGAATTATTATCATATTTAATAAGCAAAACTTAAAATGCAAAGACGTGTTTCAAACACAACTCAAACTACTGCTTTCCGTCATTTTTATTATTGACGTGAATACAAACCTGCTCTGCTAATGGAACAAAACCCCAGAAAACAGCAGAAGTTTCATATATTATAAATACTGCACTTATGTAGTTAGAACTGCCACATCCAAAGATTCACTATAAACCTAGCTTTACATTTCTCTCCTACAAAGAAAATGGAGCAGATTCCACTTAACATTGCCCTCAAGATGCCTTGCAAATCTGTTCTGTTAGAACTGGTTTTCAAGTAACCAGTTTTCCAATAGTCTGCAACCACAATCGCAGTGTTATTTCCTGAAAAGGTACAATTATGTATTCCAGAGTTGATGTAACCTAAATTACAAGTCAGGCTGGACTTTTGAGTTTGGGTTGTGATTGAAAACCAAATGGAAACATTCTTCTGACCTCTTAACCTAAAAAAATATATATTTCTGTCCTGTTTTCATGTTTGATCAGAGCCAGGCACCTCATCTTATACATGTACTTAACAGTGCATCCTGCGCATGTAAGGGACTTGTTCAGTGGCCTCCTATCATTGTTGGGTACCTATTTGTTGGATACAGCCTCTATAAATACACACAATGACATCAGCAGAGTTATGTTTTGTCACTCAAAATGAGTAACAATGGCAAAGGAGGCTTATGGCATCAGGATAACTAAAAATTTGGACGTCTTTACAAGATGGATTTTTTTCAGTGGGACAGTGGCACTGGTATTCATTGGCGATCTGCAGCCTAAAGCAGCATTGCACCCTGGAGACTTCTCCAAATTAACCAAGACTTTGCAAATTAAGTCAACAAAGGGTTAATCTAGCAGATGGAGACTAACTCGTCAGTCAATAAATCATCTGTGCTACTTGCAGCGGGGATAGAATTTTGACATTTTTAATTAAATTAGATCGCTCAAGATGAATTAATGGACTGGCAGCGTGATTCTCGAGATCTCATTTTCATCTCATTAATGGGAGCTTTTGCCGAGTAATTCTGTTTTCATTTTAAAATCTAGGTAAACCAGTAATGATCATAACCGAATACATGGAAAATGGCTCTTTGGACGCATTCCTCAGGGTAAGTCATCCATCAGACTTAGAATGAAAGAGCATTATTCAGCGGCAGCCACTTTTTCAGAAGTGCTGTTCTTTAATTGATAGCTTAGCGCAGCACGTCTCAAATGCAAATGTGGTTTGTGGCGTTTCTAGAAGAACGACGGGCAGTTCACAGTCATTCAGCTGGTGGGAATGCTGCGAGGGATTGGATCTGGAATGAAGTATCTCTCCGACATGAGCTACGTGCACCGGGATTTGGCAGCACGCAACATTTTGGTCAACAGTAATTTGGTCTGCAAGGTCTCAGACTTCGGCATGTCCCGAGTTCTGGAGGATGACCCGGAGGCTGCTTACACCACACGGGTAAGGCAGCCCCACAACACTGTGTCGCACTTTGGAAATGTTGTCATATTGCTGGTACCCAGCAAAAGGCAGTTGAAGCCCATGGAGAACAAAGTGCTTTTGTTCCTTGCTGACTCAACTCTCGTTTGCAGGGTGGGAAGATCCCCATAAGATGGACAGCGCCCGAAGCGATTGCGTATCGCAAGTTTACCTCAGCGAGTGACGTTTGGAGCTACGGGATTGTGATGTGGGAAGTAATGTCATATGGAGAGCGACCCTACTGGGATATGTCCAATCAGGATGTGAGTCTAACACAGGAACCCAGTGTTTGTTCCTCCCTCCGCCCCCCACCCCAACTCTATTGCATTTTCTGTTGAAGCAAAAGTTAGGCACCATGGGGACACAATAGATACAGGTGCAGCAATAGGATCTAAAGATAATTACAATAATAATCCTTGCATTTGATATAGCACCTTATCATGTCTTCAAGACGTCTCAAAGCACATCACGGAATATACTGTAAAGTGAATTGACGGTGTGTTTTGTGGGTGAAACACGGCAGCCAATTGCGCACAGCAGTGTCCCACAAACAATCCTGGATTGAGTGACCAGGTTATTATTTATTTGTTTGAAAGGATTATTACCCCCGACAAAGCGATCCGCCAATCGACTAACAACCGGGTTCCTTAGACCCAATAACACATCTGGAACTGTGAGAAGTTCACACCTGGCTGTCTTTCCAAGATGCAAATATTTCTGAAGCCAAATAAAATGCATAATGTGGACGGTAACTCCAAATCTAAATCGTATCTTTTTGTCACAGGTGATTAAAGCGATTGAGGAAGGCTACAGATTACCTCCTCCAATGGACTGCCCAGTCTCCCTTCACCAGCTAATGCTGGATTGCTGGCAAAAAGAGCGCAACGACAGACCCAAATTTGTGCAGATTGTAAGCATGCTGGACAAACTCATTCGGAATCCCAACAGCCTGAAAAGGACAGCATTAACCGAGAATACAAGGCGAGTATCTGAGCAAGTTTGAGGCATGTTGTAATATACTTGTTCTTAAGAGAGGGTAGAGTTCAGATTCCCGTCGGTAACTTGTGTTTTGTTTCACAAGAAGGCACCTAGGAGATAGCGTTCTTGTACACTGTTGCTTCGTTTTAATATCCAGCTATTTCAAGCCTATCAAAATACCAGAGTTCAAGCAAACTCACCATTATTTTTCATCTCAACCAGAAGTAGTACTGGTTCCATTATAAGTTGAGTCATTGACATTCTCATTTTAAATTCCGGATCCTTTCATAAATTCTTAAAATAAATCCTTATCTTATAAAATGCTTTTAGACCAGTGATAAAGTTCAATTTATCTAAAGAATGCTGAGCAGTAGAAAGGCTCTTGTGTTTTAGCTTTTAATCATCTTGGGTGCTGTTAATTGCCTTGTGAGCTCTTAACCAACAGCATCATCACTTAAAATGTACTTTGTACCCGAGGAAATGATTGCGGTTGCAATCAACAATCTTGTTATTGATAGCTTTACAGGACACATGCACACAGTGAGAGGTGTCTCTAAAGTAGTCCTCTAGCACAGCTACTAAACATCACTGGTAGCACAATGAAGCATTATTGACCCATTTACATGATTTGAACAGGTAACAACCACCTCGGGGCCGTTAAGGAGTCCGTCATCCTCAAAACTGACGGTTTAATTGTGGAAGAATAGACACCCGGCAAATGTATTCACATGACACTAGTTAATTATTCAAGGAAATTGCACAAGTTACCCGGTGAAATGCTTAAATCTGTGAGCATGCCCTTAATCCCACCTTGGTGCACAGATAATAAATATTTAATACTGCAGCACATTAGGAACTGAATAGGTTTTCGCTTTAGAAAAGAATTCGGAAATATCTGGTCCCAGATCATAAACGTAACAGAATATCACAATAACCCCCTGAGCAAAGTCCTAACCTATTTTGATTATAATTTAAATCACGATTTGTAGTTTGCAACATAATGTATGGGAGGCTACAGTGTTGTAGTTCGTCACTGCAGTTCTGGAATTGCAGGAGTAGATGTATTGAATCGCCGAACCATCATAACAACAATAACATTTGATTTTTATTGGTGTCCGTGTAAAACACTCAGGCATCAGTGACTCATGGGTAAGAATGACCCATTCGAGGTAATAAATTAGAATGCATGAATTATGATTGGAGGATAATAACTTCAAGAAATGTCAGAACTATGCCTTCATTATGTATTTATGACATCCTGGGTAGCTGAGTACTAGTTTGAGAATAATCCAATATATTTTACATAAGATTCAGGGAATAGACCTGAATACAGCCAAGATATGACATCAGAAGCATTACATTTTCCCCAGTCATATTCCCTGTCGGATACATTGCTGGCCAATACACTGTACGATACTTGCTTGAATTATTCATGCTTCCCTAACCTTAGTTTCACTAAAATGTTTGTTTTATATTCTAATGCAGGCCCTCCACTGCATTGCTTGACCCAGGCACACCTGATTTCTCTGCTTTGGGTTCTGTTGGAGACTGGATTCAGGCTATTAAGATGGACAGATACAAAGATAACTTCACAGCAGCGGGCTATACTTCCCTAGAGGCAGTGGTACATATGAACCAAGAGTAAGTAGCAAAACAATGTTGTTTGAAGACCCACTTGAGGGTTTCTAAGCATGAGCGTATTTACAGCCAGAATTTGATAAATGCCATGACCAAAAACAATGGCAAATAAGCAGGTGAAACAGAAGTCCAGATTCTTGAAACAGTGAAATTGAACACTCAATGATCATCATGTTTCCTGTTAGTTTGATGGTACAATCTAGGGTTCGTTTCTTTCACCACGACCACCCCCCCATGCCCCCAAAATAAGATATGGGCAGAAACCGATGAGGTCTAATGTTACTTTATAATGATGGGTAGAGGATAATAGGTTGGTTCTTCTACTGCAAAAATTCAGGTTGTGCAACGAGGGGGGAATAGAGAATAGGTTCATCTGCAAATTTTCTGCAGTTAACAAAAGGGCCTGTAGCTTTGTAGAAATTTAGTGACTATTATTATTATCTTTTTATAATTAAGATAGATATTTTTCACACAGAAAAAATACCCTTCTGATCTGTGTTTTTCTATTATTTCCATCCCACAGGGACCTGACCCGAATTGGAATTACAGCAATAGCGCACCAGAACAAGCTTCTGAACAGCGTCCAGGGAATGAGAGCCCAGATGCAACAGATGCAGGGGAGAATGGTTCCTGTCTGAATCAGTGCAAGAACTCAGTGAAATTAGTTTACCTCATCCATGCACTTTAACAGAAACAAAATGCACTTTTTACTTCGTCCTTGCCCTTTTGTATAAGGGTATTTACTCAGTGGTTTTGCCTGATTTGAGGACACGTGCTGAACTTTTTGACCACTGTGTGATTATATGCATAGACCTCTAGGTAGATAAGAGGAAACTGGATCACATAGACATTTACTTTGGAACTCCTACATTTCTTGGATGAACTTTCATGAAGGATCTCACCTGTTCATTCATTTCATACATAGTTACAGACAGTTTGGATGCTTTTCAAGTAACCACTGAATTGAAGGTGACTTTTCATTTTTGGACGTGCTAATGAAGGACTGGGATGAATTGAGTTTCTCTCTTTCTCTCCAAAACGGTCCAGTGGACACCAGTCTTGACTTAAATAATGGTGAACAAAGGCAAAGAAGCCTTTTGAATGTCCACATTCTACTTTGGGCGTTTGTGTAAATTGCAACTACATTATGCATTTATTTTGCTGAAATGAGTAGGCAGTCTTGTGGACTACCACTTGAGGACTTCAGTCTATGATGAGTTGTAAATGTACTATAACTTCTGGTAGTGATTAGCAGTGGTTCTCACCATGAGCACAGCAGAAATTCCTTCCATCAAGAAATGTCTATGTAGCATTTATAGAATGGAAGACCGACCCATCAAAAACTTGGCTAAGGAGCTACCAATTTTCAGTTCCTTTGAATGCTGAAGAGAAATTGCTGTAAGCGGCCACCAAAAGAGGACAAGGTAAATATAACTGGTTTTGGTGCACCGTGGTAAGAATGGAATTTTGAATAAAGTTCTAACTCAAGTTACCACAAGTATGATAATTTGAACGGTATGAGTGTTATGTGTTTTATCCACCCATGCCAAATTCTCTTCTCTCACGCCTTCTTTCTTGACGGGAGTGATTCATGCCACCACTTTAATACCATTTTTCATGTGTGAGCTTAAGAGAGTGAGTGTTGCCAGGTTATTCAGCTGTAAAAGGACTGATGTGAACTCCACAAAAGGGATAAGAACATATCAACCAGTACATATAATTGCCCTTCACCGCTACCTGCTCATCCCTAGCCCAGGGATGCTAAAGTCAATTGTAGTGCCCCTATAACAGCATCTAAGACAGTGCATATTATACCTCCCAAGTCTGAAGAATTGTACCAGACAGGCAAGTTCATTGAGCTGACCTGTCTAGAAGTGTTGAATTCGTGCCAGAAAAATGAAGAGCAATGTAATGTACATTTTAAATTGGAGTAAGTTGAAAGCCAACTTAAGTACTAAATCTTTATGTGTAAGCACCATTGGGAAAGCGTCCCAATCAGTTCCATTGTTCTCACGGTACGATCGACTTTGATGGGCGGCAGCCTTGCACTCTATCTGAGGATGTAATTAAGAGCTAGGTTGCTCTTCAAATGTGTGTCCCATTTTATATTCACGGCAATATTAAATAGATCCCGGGCTATTTTCATGATATCATACTGCAACATCCCTCACAAACCATATACTCTCCACTTGCAGCACGCTGTAACTTGGCAATGACCGATCTGGGCATCCCACCAGTCTGACTCCATGATACAGAAAGAACCTTTCAGTGAACACATTCCCCCTTCTCCTGGTTACAGAGAGAGAGAGATCACCATTCCTAATGTAATATAACTTCATTTCAGCATCTGGTTTGTAATATTATTGCATAATTGTAATCTTATATTTAATGTCCGATAAATAAACACTATGGGGTGTAAAATGTGATATGCAATGGGATAATTATCACTTGTGTTTATTCCCCCCACCTTTCGAATGGTTTGAACAAAGGCTGCATTTCCACCATCACATTCTCTCTGTCCTCAGAAAGTTTCCCTATTGATAAAAACTTTGTTGGATCAAAATTCCCAAGAACGTGATAATTATCAAATAACGTTGCATTTATCACCCCTAAAAATTTCATATACAAAAAAAAATGCACCTACTCCCATTTGTTTTCCACGGAGCCAGTCAACATACAAATCTCAGGTCAACCGTCAGAGTTGTCATTGTGATCCAGTGCATTTGTCGACTCCACTGATGGTAGACTGTTTACTGTACGGAGATCGATCTTTAATAGTTTGAGAATTGTAAATTGAATGAAGTGCAAATATGTATTTGAATCTTTTAGTCGCTAGAAATGTTTTAGTTAGCTCAAATACCATTCTGTGTTAGGAGCTAACGGTCGGTGGTGGAACTGTAGATCTATTGACATGAAAGATTGATTTTGGCTGAGAATAAGATTTTCTGGAAGTTATATCAAAGTAACCCTAAAGAAATGTTGGGACTGTGTGTAGAACAGTAACCAAACCTGGCTCAACCAGCTCTATTATTTAGTACATTTTTCTCGAGATAAAATAGAGGCAATGGGAGCTGGGAATGTATAAATTTGGAGAACTTCCAGGCTTGTTTAAAACCAACTGAACCACAAGTAATACTGTATGCCAAAGCGATCATTCAGCGGGAACTGTTTGGCTGTGCCAGTTTCTGAAGTGAATCGTGGATCCTCAACAACGCTGGAAATGAAAACTGTTGCTCCCCACAGATATATTCTCTGAGGAGACCCAACAATGAATGTCATTCTGCCAGCAACTATTTGGTACAGGATTGTTCAATGCAACAGCAATTGGTTCCAAAATATCCCCTTCTTTACTGGAGGGCCTCCAACTATGTTTTATTGGGATTACAGAAAAACTAATATGAAAAAAACATGATTAGTGCCTATTGTCGTGAAACAGTAGTGACTTTGATTTACGAGAGACTGGGGATCGTACTGTAGCTGATAAGATTGTTTCTATGAAACAATATTCTGTAAACCACATTAATATGAAAGGGAAATAAAGTTCTATTAATGTTTTGTGCTAAAATGAAATTGTGTTGAATCCTTCTTGATTGATGATGTACGGATAAGCCTTTTACCGTGATACGTTTAACAGTTAAATAAGTCAAGTTATTCAATTTGCTTTACATTAGAAATAACCAAACTACCAAATCAACCTCAGCATCACAGTCACTGGGAACGCAGAATGACAATGAAATCAAAACATGGAAAATCCCACTGGACCTTGTGCCACTAACATCAGATCAAGGGAAGGAACTTCAGCCCCTAATGAGCCCACATACAATGCAAAAACAAATTCCGACAGCCAAGTATATAAAGTTCAGCATCTGCTCTGGAAAATCACTAGAGGAATGTATTGTGTAGCCGAACTAACCTTTGTGGACTTCTGCATGTCCCTGCTGCGCCTAGTGTGACAACCTGTTAGAAATACTGTTAGGTATTAATAATGTATGGGATTGGTTATATAGGGATAAAACACATGTACTTTTTACAGAACTGTACATGTATTTTACTGAAGTAGTGTTTCAAATTTACTATTGCGATTTGTCATTGTTTTATATACATTTCATAATGTCACAAATATCAAGTCATTCAAAGCACCTCTCCTCTGCCTTTGGTCAATTTTTTTTGTTGAAACACTCTTGAGATGCTTCCTCGCATGGAGAGTGCTACATAAATGCAAGTTGTTGCTTTCTAGAAGGATTCACAGCTCGATAGACATTTCTGTTCCAGTATGTATGGACACGCCTTTAGGTCATTCTTTTTGATGCTGTTACTTGTAAAACTTAGCTGGTATTTTCCTTTGCATTCTATATCTCTGTTCCTGAGCAACTTTCGTCCGAAATGCTAGTTTTAAACAAATGACATAGATCTATTTTTTGTATTCCTGCTTGGACCTGATTAGATATATGCAAACCATGGTTTTCTGAATAAAATGTACAGCATATCTTAATTTAGTTCAAACTGGAATTCTTCTAAGCAGTCCAACATTTCTTTGTACTTTTTCTTTTGATTCGTTTAGGCATAAATTCATTGTTTTGCGGTTTTAATCTGTATTTTTTCATTTGAATTTTCAGGTACATGTAACTTATGTCATTTATTTATGGTCTTGAGAATCTTTTGTACCTAGTTTATACATTGTAAAATAATAGTTATGGAAAGAGTGCACACAATGTGCTTTGGAAATAAAGTAGTTACAGCACAATCTTTGGTTTGGAAGTGACTGATAGACACTCTAAAAACTGGAGAACTCTTGAGTTAATGTATGAAAATATACTAATATTCATTATTTAAGACAACATCACATTAATAAATAATCAGAGCCTTGGCAGTCTAGATTCAAGTGGATAATAACAAACATTAGTGATGTTCTATAGTTACAAAATACACAGTCACTACTCTTTACATTACAGTACAACAACAAGATAACAACAACAACAGTAAAGCCTGTGAAGTACTTTTGAGACACCCTAATCGATGCAAAAACCGCCATTATCAGATGCGTGTCTTTTATTTTCTTTCTTAAGTTATGGAAATCGCTTTGAGTTGCTCATTCCACGTGTTCCTCCCATTGACCATTCCTTTGGCTATCGCCCTTCCTTCCCTCCCTGATAATCCTTGTCATCTTTGTCATCAACAGGAACATGCAGTCAGATGCAATCTACATTTAGTTACTGGAGCTCCTGCATGTTCATGGGTGTGAATTGGTATTTGCAACTACAGTGGGGCAAGTTTCCCACCTCAGAAAGGCTACTTTGAGGTGACAAACAACCAGCAATATAGTTTAAGGTTAGGTGTTTCTGCCCCAAAAGGGAGAAGCAGACAATATCAATATTTTCTGAGTTGGTGAATGAATTCTGGATACATAGATGAATTGGCTGATTTAAGTGGTTTCAAACTAGAACCATAGATATTTACAGCACGAAGAAGGCCATTCAACACATTGTCTTTTAAGATTAGTGTTGCAAGAATGCAGCTTTAAAGGGAAATTCAAATGAAAAGGCAAGTAAAAGGCAATTTACAAATTCAAGTTTCCTTAGTTGGACAAGAAAATACAAGACCTACATAGCTGGGTATATGACTTGACATGTGATCCATCGAATAGGATAACATCTAATATCAATAATGTAGTTTAGTAAGCAGCACATTCTTTCCACAATGTTGTTACATTCATCTCTATTAAGTGGCTATTGATGTGTGGAAAATCCGTTTTACACTTTAATCAGCATTTTGTTATTCTAAGGCTAGACCATATTCATTAGTATGTCATTAGTGACTGTAGCTCAGTGGTTAGAGCAATCACCTCGCAAGCGAGAGACCTGGGTTTCATTTTCGCAGGACGAAATATTGGGCAGGTTTCCTTTACCCCACAAGCCTCTGTTTAGCTAGTAATAAGTAGGAACCCAGTTGTTAGTTAATTGGCTTTTCCGGGAGTAATAATTCCTTCAAAAAAAAGTTGGTCACTCAATCCACTGCTGTTTGTGGGACACTGCTATGCGCAATTGGCTGCCACGTTTCGGCCATAAAATATATAGTTAATTCACTTTATAGTATATTCTGTGAAGTGCTTTGAGACGTCTCAAAGATATGCTAAGCCACTATATCAAATGCGAGGGTTATTATCAACTCAGATTAAGAGAAGTCAGATCAAAATACTGCGCAGATCCTTCTGCCAATGTGCACTTCACAACCCCATTCTGCCATTTCCGCAGTAATTGAATTCTGCCAGCAGCAAACACCATTTCACAAACAACTCCCAACACATTAAACCCATGACAGATGTTAGGTTTCACTTGGCTTCAAAAGAGCAAAAACTTTCATTGTTATACAAGGGCTTTGTTGTGAAGTCAAAAGGATCACAGCAACTGGAAATGCATTTTTAAGTAAATGGGAGCTTTACTTGAGATGCAAAGCTTTCCTACCTGTGTGCCCTTTTAACTTTTTNCTCCCTCCATTGAGCTTGCTTGGCAGCTAGCAGAGACCTATATGAAATAATAAATCAGTATTCAATACAGGCTTCTTCAAAGGAAAGACAGTTCTTCATTTACTGATTCATTGGCCGATCTACTAACAGAACGAAGTATCGGGTGGAAAGGCTTGAAATTTACCCACACGCAAAAGGTTTCCCATTACCACCAGAGTGAATTTGTTCACTTTATAGCAGCGTTTGAAATGAACCGTATTCTGAGCACAATGGTGAGCTCAATGGTGTGTGTTTGTTCAGATCTGAGCACTTAGTCTCACATCATGTGCGAACAGTCTCTAGTGTAATATAACCACAATAAATACAGAACTTCCAATTCATTACAGCTTAATTTTACACAGAATCATGCTGAAGTGAAAACATTAACCAAAGAACTTTCCAAGTAATTTTCGCTGACTGAAATTAAAGGGAAACATGACATGATTGGATAATAACCCAGGCAGAAAGCTTCAATAATGTTAAGGTATATACTTTCCTGTTTATTGGGTTTGCAATTAATCAGCCTTCATAAAAGGAAACAGATTGTTTTACAAATAAATGTAAGAAAATTAGCAGAAGTCAGATCTGAATGGATAATCCACACACAATCCTAAAATTCTAATACTGAAAAAGACACCAAATAAATCATGCGAGTGTGATGGTAAACATTCCAAAGTAGTTCGCTTGCAATAGCCAACATAATTCTCATTTCATTTAAATGCAAATTAAATGTTTAATCCAAATTGGGCATGCTTCTACATCAGTGGGGTTAGACACAACCTCATAGAGTATCAGATGCATGTAAGGTAGTCATACTTTTCTTGGAGAAGGTTTGTGGGCTTCAGGATGATGCAGTTCATGACGTCTTAAATTGCAAGCCCTTAGTAGGAGCTGGGAATTCTCCAATGAGAGAGAACTGACCCAGGCGTGGGTAGAGAATGTTGGCAGAAGTTAAGGAGCAAGTTGCCCTGCTTATGTTCTTGGTCAGAGACAGCACATGACTCGGAGGGACCGAAGCAAATACAATAACTTGGCTGTGAAGTTGCTTAGAGAGAGCCAAGAGCAGACTGAATGTCAAACTGTGGCAGCTGATTGATGCAAACAAGGTAGCAAACCACTTAGTCACCAATCTGGTTAATCTGCAATCAATAATAAATAAATAATTTAAATCAAGGCGTAGTTCTCCCCCAAAAAGAGTAAGCATGTATAAATTAAAAGGATATTAATAATTCCAGATAACCCCATTTTTTGCAAGGGGATGTTAATGATAGCACTCGTTCTTAAAATCCTAATGCACACGAGCTATAATTACCTTGGTATCACATTTCAACAAAATAACCTTGAAATACAAGGTTACAATCACGTGGAGAGATATCCCATGTTTTTAACATGAAAAGGTTTCTGAGGTGCTCTTCCTGATGCCACCATCTAACACAACAGATCCAAAGATTAAAGGGTCTCGAGGGGTTATCTGTTTATGCAGCATTATAAAAAAAATAACTAGCTTGTCAAGAGGGAACCAGAGATTGACACTCCCTCCAAACTAAGCGACGGCTCCTGTCAAAAAGAAACATGTTTTGGGCCATAGAGCGGCAGCAGCAGATGTGAATGCCAAGCTGTGTTACCGGACCGATATGAACAAGGTAGCAGGCCACTTAAATCACCAATCTGGGTAATTAATCTGCAGTCATCACAGTAATGAATTAAAGCTAAGGGACAACTGATGGCAACAGTGGACTCGGCAGCCAAAGGGCTGTTGTACTAGCTCTTGCTTAATTAATTTATGCCTTGCCTCATAAAACCATTGCTTGTTCACTCATGCCTGTCCAGCTCAGGAGAACAGTGGGGGAAAGAGAAGGTTCATGCTTCTTTATAAAAGCAATATTCACATTTAGTTATTCAACAAGCAATACAAGAATATTTGAAAGGTTAGAAAACAAGAAAGAGTAGAATGATGTGATTACTGATGTGATTATTGATTGCATTTACTAGAAGCCCATGTTGAAAGTTCTATGGGTAATTTCAGAGTGGGGTGTAGTTCTGAGCTGTACAGTTTGGGAAGG